CCACTCCTCGGAAGGAAGGTTGGGCAATCTACTTCTGTAGTGATACTGCCTCGGAAACCCAAGGAGGGGTCGCTATGAGTCGGGGCCGACTCCACGGCACATAACAACAAAACAACAACAGGATACTTTTGTAAGGTCAAACTAGTAAAGCAGGACAAACCAGAGCCTAATCTTGGGCTAAGGGAAGAAGGGGGAAGTAGGTTTTATTTGGAATAGATCTTCATTTGAATAAATGTTTACTGAAGTGAAGATGGGGCAATCTACTTCCGTAGTGATACTGCCTTGGAAACCCAAGGAGGGGTCCTATGAGTTGGAGGATCCAACTCACCGCAGTGAGTTTGGTTTTTTTTTTTTTTGGAAGGTGAGTGATTAAGCAGTGGTAGTTCCATCTAAAATTTGAGGAGGAGACAGAAGAAGGAGCAGATCACAGAAGCAGGAAGGAAACAGTCTAACCTGACTGTGGTCAATTTTAAATTGTGTGCTTGTATATCTGTGCATGACTGTGTACTTCTATATCTGTGAGTGATACAAGTGCAAGAGTTGTAGGAGGAAGACGTCATTCTCCTTTTAAGGTGAGCTCATTATTCATTCCTGCATCATAGCATCTAGTATATAAAGCCACAAAAAACATAATTGTATTAAAAAAAATTTTGTATGACACTTCTCTTCAGAGATAGACTATGGATTAAGGCAAAACAGAATCAAGTTAAATTATGATATTTAAGTGAGAAATATTGTTGCAATGTGATTTCAAGAGAAGATGCCATGGTTACGTACAAAACAGTATGCCTTGGCTTGGGTTCCCACTCCACCATTACCAGGTATTAGTGTTTAAGGCACTACTTAACCTCTATTATTCTTGGTTTCCTCTTTCAGAAATGAGGACAATAGATCTCCAGACTTTTTTTGTTGTTGTTGTTGTTAATTTGAAACATCTTTTTTCTTGTTGTTTTTTAAAAAATATTTTCTTCAAAATACTTTCATTTTCCCTCCTTTCATTTAAATGCACCTCAGATGAATTATCCTGTGGGACATAAAATGATAAAGAATGACCTTTCTTTTCTAGGATTTCATAATTGATTTAAACTTCACAAATCTCTAAGCAGACCAAAACAAACAAACAAACAAACAAAACAAACTGTCATCAAGTCAATTCTGACTTGGATTTCCGAGGTGGTAAATCTTTACGGAAGCAGAAAACACCATCTTCTTTCTGCAGAGTGGCTGGGGGGTTTGAACCTACAACCTTCTGGTTAACAGTCAAATGCCTTAGGAACTGCTTTACCAGTACTCCTTTAAGGGACCAAGCCAAACCAATCTCACTGCTGTCGAGTTGGATCCGACTTACAGCGACCCCTCCTTGGGTTTCTGAGGTGGTATCACTGTGGAAGTAGATTACCCAACCTTCCTTCTAAAGAGTGTCCCGTGGGTTTAAACCACCATCCTTCTGGCTAGCAGTCAAATGCCTTAGGCATTATGGGAGAGATAAATGATCAAATACCTGGTGTGAGCCAAAGTTTTCAGAGTTATTTAATTCTCACAAAAGCAGTATGAAGTGGAAAGTTTTATTTCTCCATTTTATACTTAAGGAAATCAAAACTCAGAGAAGTCAAGGAATGTGCCTAAGGTCACAGAATAGGTCACAGAGAGCTAGGCACGACCAGGCTATGGTAAAGTGGTAAAATGGTAGATACTCCATTTTAACAGATGAATAAACAGGTACAAAGGCAATGATGTCACTGGGGAGGGGCAAGAGGTATGAACTACACTGGGTGATTCTGTCAGAAGGAGTGACACCAAAATGACTGTCGATAAAACATTTTGTGCAGTGTACAGCAAAAATTTATTACTTTTCCTAAAAACATTCCTGTAGTTACAACAGCAAAAACATTTCTTGTAAGCCCAGCTCACATGTATCAGTATATCTCCAAGGCTAAAACTCTGTGCTGTTTACCTTTTGAAACTTCTAATGCACTTTGGTCAGAGCTGTCCTTCACAAAGACAGTTCAAATCACTTGGTGTCATCTGCACACGCTACAAACACATACTGTTGTTTTTGTTGCTTCTGGTATTTTTATAGTTGATGATTTTGTCCAATTTTCTGGCGTCTTAGCTACAATATTATGGTAAGCAGTATTTGTGAACTTATACAAATAACTTTTTTGAGAATGAAGTAGTAGTAATTAAAGGAAAAGAAGAAAAAAAAATTAAAAAGCCTTCTCTGTTACTAATAATATTGTGACTAATAATGTTGTAATTCATTGTGGAGTGATTTTACAAAACAATTTTGCTGCCAGTATCTGTATAATAAGAAATGTTACATTTACAACTACATTGACTCACATACTATTATTTGATTAAAATTGTTAAGAAGTACTACTAAACATTCTGTATGGTCTGGTACGGGAGTAGGTCCATGGGGGAGTGCCAGTCTATGTTACTACACTGAGTGACACCAACCCTAGTGACTCTACTGTATAGAGAACCAGGAGGACTTCCTCAATTTTGCAGTGAATCAGCATTTTGGGTGCCAGGAAGAAATTCTAAGTTTTTTAATAACAGAATGTAAGCTCAGGCCTGGGGCAGGGTGCCGGAAAATATCCTTTTGCTTGATGACTTTATTTCTATTTGATACCAGCTTTGAATTTTCAAGTTTTTAAAGTTGTGAGATATGAGAAAATTGAGCTCATTGTGTTTGTAAATGTTTATTATATCCTAGTAATATTCTTGGGAGCTCTGATAGCGTAGTGCCTAAGGTACTTGACTGCTAATCAGAAAGCTGGCGGTTCAAACCCACCAGCCACCCCTCAGAAGGAAGATGGGGCAATCTACTTCCGTAGTGATACTGCCTCGGAAACCCAAGGAGGGGTCGCTATGAGTCGGGTCCGACTCGATGGCACATAACAACAACAGTAATATTCTTGATCTTTTCTAGAGAAAATCTTAGAGTGAACACATTTTATATCCTAGAAATTGATGAAGCTCTTTATTTTTTCCAAACTGTGTTCTTGTATCTCCAGCCCTAAAACCCTTTACTGTACATATACATTATATCTGGAGTATGCTGTGACTAATACTGAGCTTTATTTCTTTTTATAAAAGTAATTTGCTTATCTAGAAAAGCGTTTGGAATGCTGCACAGCACTGAGAGTGTTGAGCTCCACTGTACTTCCTCTGGCTTCAGGATAGAGGCTGTCTTACGTATTTATATTTTCCCTCTGCCAACTTCCTTAATGTTGGTTCTCTTATCCTGTGCCTTTTCATTGGCTTTTAGCCTTCCTTTCCTTTCTGTTTCTTCCATTTGGCCAGGCTCCAAATGAGAGTCAGCGCTTAGCCTAGATGTATCATTTTCCAACACACTGTGAAAAGGAAAACTCCACCTTCCTACACCCACTACTAATTACCATAATGCTACAAAACATGACTTGTTACATCTTTCACCCGCCACTTGTGAATATCTGCTTTCCACAACTCTCATTCCTCCAGAAAATGAGCTTCAGCCACTTGGAGAATATGCCTTCAAACCATTCAAATCCTCAAGGGGCACAGAGATCATCCTGGAAGTTATGCCTTGTCTGCTCAACAGTTACCTTCATATTACTTTGCCTCTTCATTATACTAATTTTTGTTTTTCTCCCACTCAAGGTAAGGAGGCAACAGTACATGAGGTTGCTATTTATTATAATTCATCTTTTTTCTTTTGTTATTCTAGCTGTTATCACTGCCACTCAATACTGCTATAGCTGGTTGGAAGGAAAAGACATGTCAGCACAAATAATGTAAATATGATTCCAATTTTGTCATGACATATGGATTTTGAGGTTTATCTAACTGTTCTGAGAGGGCATGTATCAGAAAGAGCTACAAGTTAGTTGTAGAGCTGAGTTAGAGGAAATGACTTGATTCAATCAGTCAATTGGCAAATGCCTGTAGACTATTTTCTCCTTTCCTGGAACTCTGCTAAACACTTTTGATGGAATGAGAAAGTACCAAATCTGATCCTTTCTCTCATGGGATGGAATGCAAGCTCATAGTACTATGAGGGAAAAGACATAAAAAAAAGATAATAATAGAAGATAGAACAAAGCAAGTGATGGGTGGTTAGTGTATCATTTAAGGGGAAAAGAGCAACTAAACTTGGAAAGAGAAGATCTAGATTCTGGTTCTAGGTCTTCCAATAACCAGTTTATGATTTTGAGAAAATAATTTAATTTTTTCTGGTTGCACATTTCTTCATCTGAAAAAATGATGAGGAGGAATTATTTGTTTAACATAATGTCCCTTTCAGCTATAAAATACAGTGATCAATAATTTTTCTATGGGTAATACAGATCATAATTGATTTAGGAGTAAAAAAGAGGGGGTAATGACTTTGGAGGAGTAATCAGAGAAGGCTTCATGGAGGAAGAAGGAAGCACATTTCTATTTGGGAAGCCCCTAATGTTTATCAGGAATTTCCCATTGAGCTCTAGTCCAACTTTGGGCCTAGAGAAAGGGGTGGTATATTCGGAATGGAGCTAGTTAGATGCTTATTAGAAACTTTTCTTACTGTTGACTGCATAGTACTGGCAATAGGAAGGTATGAAATGTTTAATTTAGGATTTAGCCCATTTCTGGGCACATTTGAAAAAAGGGTGATTCTTGCCCATTTAGGAAAGGGGTGTGGTATGAAATCAGTGATTGTGGAGACCAGTGACTATTTAAAAGCTATGGTCCTACCACTTGAGACATTTGAAAGCAGTTGAGAAAAGATGCAAGAGCAAACAGTATACTCTAGATGCTGTTATTAATTTAGTTATGTCAAATGCGGCTTTAGCTACAGTAGCCCATTAATTTGTATATCACGAAGTATAAAAAAAGTGTGCAACAGAGTCACTTCTAACCACACCTCTGTCTTCTCAAGGAATTTATCAAACTAAAGGTCTTGATTCTTGTTCTAGGTCTTCCAATAACCAGTTGTATGAATTTGAGAAAGTCATTTAATTTTTCTGGTGGCAAGTTTCTTCATATGAAAAAAGGGAGTAGGGAAAGAGATTTATTTTTCATAATGTCTATTCCAGCAATAAAATACAGTGATCAATAATTTATCTAAGGGTAATACAGAGCATAAATGAAGTAGAGCATTGAGGTTTTGATTAGAAGGAAAAGAATTGTGAGAGATTCTAAGTATTTAGATTTGTGAAAAGGGAAAGGCTGATAATAGCAATATCTTAAAGCTGGAGGTGCTTTTTCCCCTCCAAAAATTACGTCATAATTTGTTGACCTTGAAGAACATAGACTATAGTTCTCATCAGTTCTGTCATTTGACTCAGAAACCAATTCATAGAGAAGGAAAATGCCTTTTTCAAGGGCACGCTGTATCTCCTGGATAGGAAGAAAGGAAGTCTAATAAAGCCAGAGGCAACTAGGATGCCTCTTGCCAGAACTGAATTTAATTCATCACAAAGCTCAAAAGAGCTCTGATCCTGGCTTCCTTCTCCTAGAGAATGTGCAACTTCTCACATTGAAAGACGAAAGGTTCTGCCTCTACAGACATAGTTTGTTTCAAATTTGGGGGAATTATAAAGTTTCAGGGTATTGTTCTGATAGGATGCCCTGGAGGCTGTAGTTCCTGTGGGAAAAGCCAGTGGCCTGACTGACCACACAATGAAATTAGTTTATTCATTCTACATCTCACTTGCCTGTGCTTCCTTTTCCCTGCTGGCCACAAGGAAGTATCTTTGGGAAAGACTATTGAGCAGTCTGCAAGTGGCAAGGCATTATGAGGTGCCTAGTCACAATACCCATGAACCTTGGGGTTTTATATCATGTTGGTCTCCACTCTAGTTTTTCTATATACTTTCTAGATTCTCTAGGCACTAAAAAAAAGTGTAAGACAAGAAAACTGGCTTCCTTCTAGACCAACAGATAAATTTTTCTTGGGACAATTTCCTTTTTCCTTCTTTCAGAAGACATTCAACTGAAGGGATAGATTTGAAGCCTAAGAAGTTTGGTTCATTTCTCAGTGAAAATGCCCTCACAAAACTTGTCTTCAATGAAATGAATGATACTTCCAAAGGGGAGAGTTGTAGTTTAACTTTAAAGCAGAGTAGATTCTACTTCAAAAGGATGATTTGATTTGGTTTGGTTCGAAGAAAGAATTATTAAATGTAGGCTTCTTTCAGCCCAATTATGTGAATTTTGGCTTAAATCAAATGAGATTACAAAAGCAACTGATCCCTCTAAGCAAAAATGAACTAAATTAAAACTAGACTGGAAGCCATCTTTCATATATACATATTTTAAAGAAGGCAATATTTATTCCTTCTATACATCACAAGAATTATACATAAAAATTCCCCCTTAGAGTGGTTAGGGTTGAGTTTCTTTAGTCAGACAGGCTGAGTTTGGATCTTAGTCTTGTGTTTCATCAGCTATATGACCTTAGGCAAATTACTTATATCCCTCTCATTCTCATTTCCTGCAAAAGTGTATGGTAATTCTTATACAGTTGCTCTAAGGACTGATGAAAGAGTACAGTGCCTGGTACATATTAGGCTCTCAATAGATGGTAGTGATTAATATTTGTACCATTATTAATGACATTACATTGAAGATAAATTAAAAAGATCTTTTTAAAATATGAATATTCTTTGCTTATTTGCTTCACTTCCTCAACCAGAGACCTATGTCTCACTGCCAAATTGATGATTTTCATTTGTGGCAATAATTAGAGATTAGCACAGTGGTGATTTTTGAAGCCCTAAATAAACTTCAATGCAGCCCAAAGTATAGCATCTGGAATTTCTGGCTCTGGCCAATAGTCTGTATTTGCCGTCCTTAAGTTTCTCTCCACACACTCATTATACATGACAACAGATGTCACAGATACTATCTGTGGTGTGTAATTTGACATCATTTATACTTAGATTGTTCTCTAATTGCTTCATATGTTTAATCATGCCTTTCTAGGAGGAGTATAAACTTCTTGAGAGGCAAAAAACAGACATTATGTTTGTTTCTCTCACAATGCTAATATAATGCCAGAAATCTACAGGCTCATTCATCAGCATTATCAAAGCAGACCATGATCAGATACCTGGGCAAAGCACTTCACAAGAATTATCTCATTTAAGCTACACAACAATGTCCGTGAGATACCTACTATCCCCCTCACCCCATTTTATAGATGAGAAAACTGAGAATAAGGAGTCTCTGTTACATGCCTACCATGAAGTGAATTAAATTGAGTTTCAACATCTCTTCTAAGAAATGCCAAAATGAAGATGAAATAACTTTAAGAGCAACAATTGCAAGGGAATAGTAGCTTCCAAATGTTTTTGATTGAGTCTCTCAATCAATAAAGTTCAATTCCCAATACTTGCACACTCATTTTTTATGTTATATTTAAGTGCTAATAATATATATACAAAAAAAGGTTTTAAAATAGAAATTTATAAGGATCAGCTAAATGATATGCCTAACGTAGTTTACTTAAAGTGAAAGATCATTTTGATATTAAAACCAAAAATCAAACTCATTGCCATCAAGTCAATTCTGACTCATAGTGACCCCCTGTTGGGTTTGAAGGCTGTAAATCTTCACGGAAGCAGACTGCCCATCCTTCTTCCATGGAGAAGCTGGTGGGTTTGTACCTCTGACCTTTTGGTTAGCAGCCAAATGCCTTAACCACTATAGCACCAGAGCTCCTTATTTTGATTATTACTAAATTACTATTATACTTTATATAATATATTAATATATATTCTTTATAAAATATATGAATATTTTAATAGAAAATCTGGTAAATATGTTTCTTTTACTTTTTTACTCTTAGTATATAACACTTTGTGATATAGCAGTTTGAAGGTCATGTTCCAAGTTAATTTTTCTTGAATCATGATTTTACTGATTTTCATAATTGAAAATTTTACTTCATAACAGTTTAGAGATAAAGATGGAAGATTTCATGTTTGAGTGTGCTTACCATATCATGACACTCAATTTTCAATCTTTCATTCAATGATGCAAAGCTGCTATTATTATTAATATTAAAATAACATTGACCCTCATTCTATTCATGCTTTTTCTTCCTTTCTTACATAACTTAAATTCCATGGACTATGATTATCATCCCTTCTTTGCATAAACCCACTTGCTTGCTTCTCTCTCTCTTCATCATGCTGTACTGTCAATACCTCAAACCTGGAAAAACTCCAACCCTGATTAAATCCTGTGTGTTTCACATCTGAATCTAGCTGAAGAAAAAACAAATGATTTTGCTGAGAGGTCTTACTTTCAATTTATGGCCACCATCTTCAGTGTTGCTAGGCAAACAACCTACATTTCTCTAGTCTATTCACTCTCCCACTCCTCTACTAGTCTATTATGAAATACAGTCTTCTTTTTACAAATCCAGTATCTCTTTCCCCATTCTCACTCCCAGCTGATGTTTTTGGCCTGAGACAACAGATGTTTTTGTGAGAAAACAGAAGCAGACAGGAAAAGAAATTCCAAAGCTCCCCATTATATCTACTACTCATTTCCATTTTTGTCCATATACAGTGCCTTTCAAGCTCTGATGGCCCAGTGGTTAAGTACTCAGCGGATAATCAAAAGGCCAGTGATTCAAACTTCCCAGCCACTCTGTGGTAGAAAGATATAGTAGTCTGCTTCCACAAAGATGACAGCCTTAGAAACCCAATGGGGCAGTTCTACCCTGTTCTATAGTGTCACTATGAGTTAGAATTGACTGGATGGCAACAGGTTTTTATACTGCATTTCCTTGTTGTTATAATGAATGAATTGTCCATGCAATTCATTAGCAGTCAAATGCCTTAGGCACTATGCCACCAGAGCTCCCTCCCCCAGAAACTACTCTTGTCAATAATCTCAATAATTACCATGTTGCTAAATCCATCAGTTAATTCTCTGTCCTTATTTTACTGGACTCATCAGCAGAATTTGACACAGCTGGTCACTTCACTCCACTCTAAATACGTTCTTCTCTTGGATTCCAAACACCTGGTTTTCATTCTGACTCACTGGCTGTTCCTTCTTAGTCTCCTTTTCTGGCTTTTCTCATCTCCCCAATCTCTAAACACTGTAATATCCCAGTACCTCCACTCCTCTCTGTCTACTCTCACTGACTCGATGATCTTATGAGTATCATATCGTAAAGCATCGCAAATAAACTAAAGATTACCAAATTTATATCTTCAGAGCTCCTTAAATTCAAGCCCATTCATCCAACTGCCTACTCAACACCTCTGCGTAGATATCTAATAAACATCACAAACTTAACATGTCCAAAAACTAACTCAGGAACCCATGTTTGTTTCTTCTCTCCAGTTTACTCATTCCACAAAGTAGCTCCATAGGAGAAAGACCTGGTGAACGGCTTCCATAAAGATTACAGCCTAGGGAACCTTATGGAGAAGTTCTGCTCTGTCACACGGGGTTACTATGAGTCAGAATTGATTCAACGGCACCCAACGGCAAGAACAACTCCTCTCAGATCCTGCCTATTTTAGCAAATAGCAATTTTATTTTTCCAATTTCTTCAGCCAAAAAAATCTAGATATTATCTTTGTGTCTTCTCATTCATTCTCTTACCCCATAGCCATGTTAGAAACTCTTGTTGGCTCTGTTTTCTAGTAACTTATCATCATCTCCACTACTAACATCTTGGTCAGAGGTACCATGCTCTCTTGCCCAGATTACTGCAGTAATATCTTAGTTTCTCTCTTGCTTTTGCTCTTGCCTGCCTTTAATTTATTGTCCCAGTGTAGCACTCAGAGAACACTCTAAAAGAAGAATGTGCAACATCTCTTGAGTATCTTGCCATAAGAAAATCAATGAACCCTGTGTGGTACAAAAAAAAAAAAAAAATTGTGGTTACACTCTATCCTCTAAACTCTAAAATGTTTTAGAGTTTTTGCCATTTAAATATTTGTATTTATAAACTTAACCACACTGATGGCATCCTGCAACATATAAACTGTGGTATGTGAAAACAGATTAAGTGAAGTCTCCTAAGGGTATTTCAATTACTGTATATGACACATAATTATCTGAATATTCAGTAAGGTTAGCTGTATCAACCTGAATTGTAAGTATTTGTATAGCTTAATTTTCTTTACTTAAAATAAACATAAATAGAAGTTCATTTTCTTCCCACATGTGAATGTATCACTTTGTGCAGTCCTCAGGGTATGGATACTACAGTTTATAAAAAAAAACTACTATAGCCCAGGAGCAGGATGGTCTAAGACCAAACAGTTATCTTGTGGATAGAGGTTAGGTGGATGGAATGAATCCCCAATTTTTGCCTAAAAGACCCAAGGAAGCTACGTAATGAAAGGGAAAGGATAGAGCCAACCATTTGTAAAGAGAGGCTGAGAGATATAGAAGAGTTGGGAGGCAGTGTTCTTATATAGCTACTGAAGAGTCATTCGATTCAGGAATCTGAAGCTGTAAATAAATTAGTCAACAAAGTACTGACACTTGTATCATCCTGACCAATTTCTCTTTTTCTTTCCTAGCAGATTGCCAAGGAACCTTGCATAGCTAAGTTTGGTGAGTAAATTTTCTTGCATACTTCCCGTTTATTTTTCTTGGTTTATGATGCAAGGAAGAAGGTTCCAGGGCTGTCAAGAAAGCCTGAATTCTCTTTTTCCCATTCTTCAGCTAATATTTATAATTGCCTGTCCTGTGCCAGGCAGTATTCTCAGAGTTGGAGTTAGAGAGGTGAACAAGACAGACAAGCCCATAACCTGATGAAGTTCACATTCAAGGTCTCTTCTCTGGGAAGGAATATGCATAATTCTGATAGGCCTGGGGCTCTGAGATCCAGGAATCTACTTTTAATCCTGTATTTTAATAAATACAGTAAGTCTCAAATTTCTATAACCTTTCTAACAAGCTCTCACATATCTTGCATTGCTAATGTCAAGGAGAGTAGGTGTGGTCATGCTGTTATTGTTTCTAAATTTATAGGAAATGATAATGAGAGTTAAGGGAATGACTACTCTCTCTCATTCTTTCTCTTCTTCTCTTCTGACTTACTTTCTCTTATTGCCATCTTGTATTTGCATAGAAAGGAGCTCTGGTAGCGTAGTGCCTAAGGCATTAGAATGCTAACCAGAAGGCTGGTGGTTCAAACCCACCAGCCACTCCTCGGAAGGAAGGTTGGGCAATCTCCTTCCGTAATGATACTGCTTCGGAAATCCAAGAAGGGGTCGCTATGAGTTGGATCCAACTCGATAGCACATAACAACAACATTTGAATAGAAACCTCACTAAAGTTTACAAGTACTGTGAGCCTTAGAGCATTCCTTAGCACACACATAAATCCTCAAATAAATAAATTTTACATTGTTTATAGGTTTCAAACTAAACACATCATTTCCCAACTGGAGCAGAAAGTTTCTAAAGTTAACCCTGCAGCTTCTCTGTATCCCACACACCTCAAAATTGTCAGGCTTCCTTGTGTTGTGGGAATTAGGGCATTTCTTTTTATTTGATTCTTCTTTTGTATGTGTGTGTCTTTTGTGTGTGTGTGTGTTTTAGTCACTGGAATGGAACTCATCATATGTTTGAAATTTCCTCTTGATGTGGTAAAAACTGAGCAACGCAAGTAATGCTAAGGTGATTTCTAAGTGGGAGAACCAATGACATTTCTTCCCAGTGACTTGCCTTTTGCCTATAACGTATCATGTAGGAAGGTATTTCCGGGGCTCACTGGACACATCTGGAAATGTTGCCTCTTTTTCTAGAGATCAATTGACCAGAGATGCAGTGCTACCTAAAAACCTACTTTTCCATTTCAACCCCATTTCCTCAGCTCCACAAGCAAGAGCTATCCTAGGTTTTGCAACTTCTCTGAAACTAGGAGTAGACACTTAAGACATTAAAATTATGGTTGGAGAGGACCAGGATAGGTGAGATTAAGAAAGCACCGATAAGTGGGAAAGATCTTGCTATAATTGGGAAGAGAATGAAATCGCGAAATAACTATACTTTCCATTTTCTTTCCTCCCTTGTAAATTCCTTATAGGACCATTACCCTCAGAATGGCAAACAACATCTTCTGAGCCTCTTTGTGTGGAGGTGGATGATATATCTGTTTGGAAGCTGAAAATACTTCGGAGTGGCTTGTATGTAATTTATAGCCAAGTGGCACCCAACACAACCTACAAAGAACTAGCTCCTTTTGAAGTGCAGCTACGTAAAAACAATGTCACCATACAAACTGTCACAGACAACTCTAAAACTCAAAATGTGGGAGGAACTTATGAATTGCATGCTGGCGATACAATAGGCTTGAGATTCAACCATGAATATCAGGTTCTAAAAAATAATACCTACTGGGGGATCTTATTGCTAGCAAATCCCCAATTCATCTTTTAGTAACTTGATTTGGTCTTCTTATCCTCCTCAGCACATGGAAGGATGCCAAAGGGTGGGGTGGGAAGGGAAGTTTCAATGCCGATGGTTTGGTCCGGGTACACAAATCAACACAAACAGACCTTCTCTACGTGGTGCATTTTCATTGCTCAGGTTTTCTGAAAGAGACCTAGAGGAAGGGCCAAAAACATTAGGTTACCCCTGACATCAGATCCAAAGACACTTCACTAATCCATGATAAAATGAATGCTAGAATATAAGTGACTAGAAGACTAAATATGAGTGACTAGAAGGCAGAAGCTCCTCAAAGAGGCTTTGTCTAATTCTTGAATCCCTGGTTGAAAAAAATGAAGACCTATTCCCATGGGAGGAGCTCTGGTGGCACTGTGATTAAAGCATTGGGCTGCTAACCAAAAGGTCGGAAGTTCGAACCCCCCAGCTGATCTGAAGGAGAAAGATGAGGCAGTCTGCTTCCGTAAACATTTACAAACTTGGAAACCTTATGGGACAGTTCTATTCTGTCCTATAGAGTCAGAATCAACTTGAGGACAATGTGTTTGGTTTGGTTTTATTTCCATGGGAGACTTGTCTAGAATGCAAAAAAAAAACCCATGTTCCAGGTTAGTAGCTTTGTTTTATTCTCATGTTCTTAGGCTGCCTCACTTCCTTTTCTCCCATATTCCCATCTTCTGAGATCTTCCTCATAAAAAGTGGTCAGACTGCTAGTGTGGTCACAGACATGCCATCAACACCCTTCTTTAGATGTGGTGATGTTAGAGGGTAGAGAACACTTCACAGAACTATTAGGATAGAGGTACAGGTGGTGTGGAATGGAATGCACTTTATCTGGGAATTTCCCTTGCTTTCATCATACTCAGGATTCAGGGTGCTTTATGAAACCAATTAGGGTGAAGGGGTCATTCTGAACCTTCATTTGGGCTTCATGAAAATCTGTATGTGTCTAAACATTGCCATTGGTAAAGAAAGAGTGATTGGTAAGAGTCATTAGGTTTAACCCCAGAAATTGGTGTTACCAATATGACATTATGTCATGTAATGATTTCATATTTTTAACTGTCTCTGCACAGTTTGAAAAATGCTTTCATGACAGTTCTGTGATGTCAGCAGGACAAATATTTTGGGCAAAGTTTTACCATTAAGAATTTGGAGGCACATGGAGCATAAGTAATTTACCTCAACTCAGATCTAGTGATTAACAGAGCTGAGCACTCTCCACTGTATCGGCTTCAGAACTGGCATTTTTGCTATTAAGTTATACATCTACAAAGTTTAGCAGATTCAATTTTCAGGAGGCATATTCCTCTTCAGCCTCAGGTGGCCGGAGAGAGACCACACAGATCTTTCCTTTTTAAGTAAACTTCTTTCTTTTCCTTCCTGGAGCAGGGAGCTCTAGGGTGCTGCTCAGGGCTTACTCAACCAAATCCCCTTTCCCATCTTGAAAAGCTTGTCTCAGTCAAATATGTTAACGTCTAAAATTAGTCAACAGCACTTGATTCAGTGAAAACCTGCTAAAGTTTTGGACTCTGTTACATTAGCTGTTTATGAGCTCATATTACAAGGTATATGATTATGTTAAACCAGTTTAAAATATCTGTAGGTATTTGTGAAAACCTGTATTATGTTAATTAATATTATCACATATAAAGCTAATTTAAAAATATTTGTATTGTGTGCAACAAAAATTGTTCTGGAGCAAGTTCATGGTCTGAGACCAAGCTGTTTCTTAGTAATTTTTGTTTGTTTGTTTGTTTTGGGTTTTTTGTTTTTTTAAAACATATGCGGGGAGCAGAGGGCAAAAGAGTTTGATACTTTTTGTTTCTCTTACATTTGCCTGTTTTCTCAGGAAATTAAAATTGTGTCACTTGTATATTTATAGAATCTCAGTGTATTGATAATATTGATGCTATAAGCATCAATGTGCTGGACCCTGTGAGAACTAGGTCATGAAAGCTGATTGTTAAATTTTCAAGAATTTTGCAATTCAATTAAGTACTGGTCATGATGGGAGTATTTATATCATGGAAATTGGTAAACACTATAAATCAGGGCTTCTCTGTTTGAAGAGCCAGTTCGGCAGCCCACCACTGTTTGTAAAATTCACCTTCTTAATGACCTTTGACTCCTCTTTGTCCTGCCTCATCCCTAGGAAAATCAAGGCAGGCTAAGGGAGACTTAGCCTTAACATTACATTCTCCTGGTGGTGTAACTTCTGCCTGTTTTTAAGGTATGCTCTGTTTGCTTGTTTCTCCAAGAAGTTGTCTACATTTTAAACCTATAATAAAATATATGTTGATAAATGCACTGTTACTGATTTATTTCTGGGTTATTAGACTAGAGTCAATGATCTGTAGAACACAAAAGCGTATCAGGGAAGTCCTTGCCCACATGATACCTTTCTTGGCAACAATTAGGCAAAATTGAGAGCTAACTGTGATAGCTTTTGGTCACAGCTGCCCATTTCTGACGGATTAGTCAGACAATTTCACTATCTGATTTCCAGCCACTTCTCCAACTCCACCCCACCACACCCTTCACCATCACATCCATCACCAACACTTCTCACACTGTTGTGCCCAGGTTATGAAGGAGTTGTTCGGCGTGAGGAATTTGCCAATACACAACAATGCAAAAGCAATAGGAAAGTTTATTAGCTAACTTAAGTTAGGGTTCTTGCTTTCACCAAATCAGTGGCTTGAGCAAAAGACCTCGTGCTCTTACATTAAAACAAATTTATAGAAGACTATGGGGTGGAGTAGATAATTTGGTTTTTAGGATAGGGGTTTGGGAATTTGGAAGCGGGTTGGAATCTCCCGGTTTCAAAGGTGAGTGAGAGATTTTTCAGGGCGGGGCGGATCTCTTTGATATGTGCATACTCCCTGGATCCAGGAGGTAAGAGCCTTGGAGTCTTCACAAGTGGGTGAGAGGCTTTTTGGAGCCATGCAGATTTCTGATAAAAGGCTCTGAGGCATGGGACGTTTTAATCTCTATACTACAGGCATTAGGGCTCAGCATGGGATGTGTCAATCTCCATACTAAAGGCTTCTGGTTAAAAGATCTACCTGGAGGTATTAGGGCTCAGCATGGGCTGTGTCAATCTCCATACTAAAGGCTTCTGGTTAAAAGATCTTTCAGGCCCCACAACACAAATTTTTCTTTACCTTCCATTTTGCTCCATCAAAGCTGACAAGATTGTTATAGCACTGTGGGTTAAATCTCTGCTCTGGAAATGGTAGTTAATTGATAAGAGACACAGTCCTGTTTGTTCAATGGAGAAGACTAACTCTTGAAGTGAAGTGTATCTGTACATCTGGGAGATGAAATCCCTGCCTTTGTGTTCTGTCCTTATGAGGCAATTTCATTGGGGAGCATTTCATATTAGAAAAAAGAAGAAAAATCCCTGATTGACTGATGAGTTTGAGGATTACCTTCAACTAGAAGCTATCCATGATGTCTGGACACATATAAGAGCTCGTGTGGTGTAGTGGTTAAGAGAACAATGAGGAAGTCTGCTTCTTTAAAGATTTACAGCCTTGGAAACCCTATAGAATGGTTCTACTCTGTCCTATAGGGTAGCTATGAGTTGGAATCGACTCAATGTTTTTTTCCCCAACATAAATAGAACAGCATCCCAGAGCCTTTTTTTGTAGTTTTCTTGACCCATAAGGATGCCGCTCTATTCTGGGGGGTCACTGGGGACTCTGGCAGAGTCAGTCCACTGGCTATGACTCTTCTATGAGGCCCACATCAATCCACAGTAAACTTGTACATGACTCGCCCCTGCAATCTCAGGGAGTGAAAACCCATCTCACAGGAGCAAATTTCTCCTGTCTCTACTTCCAAGAAGTTGGCCCTGTTCTTCATGCCTGACTTCCTGGGTGGGGTCAGACTGCAGCTCACAATAGCTGACTAGAACACTACAGTTCTAGTGTTCTCTGGTTAGAGGAAGTCCTTGCCCACATGATACCTTTCAGGTATCGTGGTTACTTATCAGGGAAGTCCTTACTAAAGTCCTTCTTCTCAGGTTAGAATCAGACACCAATTCTCTGTACCTCCCAATTACAAAAAGTTCTTAAGTGGTGCAAATTTGCACCTAATTACTAACTGGTTGGTGGCTCAAATTCACCCAGCAGTGCAACAGAAGAAAGGCCTGGTGATCTAGTTCTGTAAGAGTGCAGCTATTGAAACCCTATGGAGAACTGTTCTACACTGAAACATGTGAGGTTGCCATGAGTCAGAATTGATCCCATGATAATGGAGTCTGAGAGGTTCCCTTGAAGCCCCCTTACCAGGCTTGAGTTAGAAAGTTTGAGTCCTTCCTATCCGTACTGCAAGGGGAGTGGGTGTGGACTCATAGTATAGTCACAGCTCTCTTTATAACACAAAAATGCCCAAACCAACATCACAGGACAGATAAAATAAGGACTAAATAATAATTACAAAGAAAAGAAAAACAGAGGGTGAGGAAAATTATGGCTCAGAAAATCATTGTAAGGATATTATTACAAATGAACATAAAACATAGCTTGTAACTTTTTGATAGTCAAAGAATATTAGAGAAGCATGAAAGAAATAAAGAAGTGTTACTTAATTAGAATAAAGCATACCATTGCTTTTAGAGGAAGGAGCTTTACCTAGGGCTGATGTTGAAGTTTACTCTGTCCCCTAGTCCACATTCATTGATCTAGACAGCAGCTTTTCCCCCCAAAATTCAGACTCTTTAATTCATGTTATTTGAACCTATGGGTTTCTGACAGCAGTTGACAAATTTAAGGGGTTCAAAATAGGTTAGTTGAACTACCACTCCAAAGCCATACAGTAGTATAGGTAAATCCCATTTTATTGGTTGGAAAAGTGGACTGGGGAGTTTACATGATCCGCCTAAAAGAACCTAGGAAGTGTTTGACAAGAGAAAAATAAAAATGTAGTGAACAGAGTCCATTAGATTCCTCATCACTTCAATAGTATAATCGGAGTGCAAAGCT